TCTGCAGGAATCATCCCAAAAACCCTGAGGAGCTGTAAAGCACTGCCTGTGTCTCACTTGGAATTCAAGCCCACATTAACAACTTGATTAATTGGGAATTCCAAACGAGAACGGGGCCAAGGCCGGTAGCAAAATCATGTTTTATTGCATCTGTTACCAGGAGGAACGCTCCCAACAAAACCATTTATAATTATTCTGGGATTTAAAGCTTTAACCTCCCTGTGCTTGCAAGAGAAATGTCACTTTTCTGGGCTGCCAGGAGAGCTCTGAGGCTGCTATAAATGAACCAAATGACTTGGAGGAAGAAGCAGCCCTGGCATCAAAGCAAGGCAGAGATGCAGCATCAACAGGGGAGGGTTTGGGATGCATTTTTAAAAAAGCAGAGATTTTTAAAACACATTTGAAGGGGTTTAAAGGGAAATGGGGTTGAATTTGGCATCACAATTCTTCCTGGACAGGGCAGGGAGGTGGAGAGAGAGCATTCCCTGGGGTGGAGGCACTTCCCAAGGATGTGGGGACTTTGGACATTGGAGAGCCCTCGAGGGCTCCAGAGGGGCTGGAATGGGGAATGAGGGAATTTCTGCACTTGCATGCCTCAGATGCTTCCTGGTGTTTTGCACAGATCCCTTTTCCAGGAATTGATTCCTGCCTGTTTGCAATAGCCAAGCAGCAAATCCAGGCAGTGACAGCTTTTTGGGTTTAAATAATTTTAAATAATCTCCTTCTCCTCTTATTCTGCCTCTCAGTGTGAATCCCAAAGCCAAGGGTTTGATCCACTTGGGAAGTGAAAGCTCAGCAGGACACAGGGAGGGAATTCCAAGAGGAATTGGGACTTTCAACCCTAAAAATGCAAGAGGGGCTGGTGCCAAACCTGGACCTCTCTCACCATTCCCAAAACCTGGCAATTGTAAGGAAATTCTGCACATGGAGCTTGCCAGGGTGGGAACAGAGGCAAAACTCCCAAATCCAACCCAAAAATCCACCTTGACTCCCACTTTACAGGCCTGACTGCATCTCTTTTATGTTACTCTGGATCTCTTTAATATTATTCTGGATAAAAAGTGCAATAAATCTAGATTAACATACAATTCTATAATTAGCAATCATGTATCCCATCATAACTGGATTGGAAAAACTGGTCTGGGAAAGGTGTTTGATATTATCCCATCCTTTTCCTGATAAATTCCCTCTTTCCATGGATTCTGTTCCTGGCCATAACAATTCACTTTCTAATTTAACAAAATCATTCTCTTCATTGTATTCCAGCTTTGATCTCTGTCACCATTCCCAAAACCATCTGTAAGGAAGTTTTACACACTGAGCTTGCCAAAGGGGGAACAGAGGGAAAAAACTCCCAAATCCAACCCAAAAATCCACCTTGACTCCCACTTTACAGGGCTGACTGCATCTCTTTTACATTACTCTGGATCTCTTTCATATTATTCTGGATAAAAAGTGCATTAAATCAAGATTAACATACAATTCTATAATTAGCAATCATGTATCCCATCATAACTGGATTGGAAAAACTGGTCTGGGAAAGGTGTTTGATATTATCACATTCCTTTTCCTGATAAATTTCCTCTTTCCATGGATTCTGTTCCTGGCCATAACAATTCACTTTCTAATGTAACAAAATCATTCTATTCATTATATTCCATCTCTGTCACCATTCCCAAAACCATCTGTAAGGAAGTTTTACACACTGAGCTTGCCAGGGTGGGAACAGAGGGAAAAAACTTCCAAATTCAGCCCAAAAATCCACCTTCACTCCCACTTTACAGGCCTGACTGGATCTCTTTTACATTATTCTGGATAAAAAGTGCAATAAATCTAGATTAACATACAATTCTATAATTAGACAGCAATCATGTATCCCATCATAACTGGATTGGAAAAACTGGTCTGGGAAAGGTGTTTTGATATCATCCCATCCTTTTCCTGATAAATTCCCTCTTTCCATGGATTCTGTTCCTGGCCATAACAATTCACTTTCTAATTTAACAAAATCATTCTATTCACTGTATTCCAGCTTTGTGGATGGGATGATCCTTCCCCACCTCCTGTGCCACTCTGGGATTTGGCACTAAAAGCTGAATGAAAGGAGCATTTTTCCCACAGGGGATCCTTCAGCAGGGCCCTGCCTCATCAGCATTTCCCAAAAATGGGGGAATTTCCATGGGAAATCAGGGAGTTCATTTTGATTTCCATGCTGCACTCTGGAGCTGGGATCTGTGGCCAGCAAACCCTTCCAGCAGCATTCCAGCTTTCACACGCTTCTCCCTCCCCTCTCCCCTCACAATTCTTTTCTTTCAAAAGAAAACCACCAAGCCATCAACCAATCCACTCCCTGTGGCCTCGTTACGCTGGGAATTCATGTTTTTAAATGAGAATTTCCCTAAGCCAGAGGCCCAGCAAGAATTTGTTGAATGATTTGTTGCTGATTTCCAGCTGAGCTGATGAACTGAGAGCCTTGGGGAGGGGCTGGGGGTTTGGAAGGTTTTGGGTGAGCCACAAATTCCTCCTTGTACCTGGCCAAGGAAACACCTGGAGCCACAGGGAGCACCTGGAAGGGAAATTTGGCCCTTGCACCTCCTTGGCCCCCAGTCTGGCATC